ATGGACAACAGAAAAGTGGGTGAAGGGAGACATCAGACAGTGTAAGACATGAAAAAAATATATAAATTATCAAGGGTTCGGGAAGGAGGGGGAGGAAGAGGGGTGGGAATGAGCTGATTGCAAGGGTTCCGGAGGCGAGGGGAATGAGCTGATACCAAGGGCTCAAGTAAAAGGAAAATGTGTTGAGAATGATGATGGCAACAAATGTACATATGTGCTTGACACAATGGGTGTATGGATGGATTGTGATAAGAGTTGTACGAGCCCCCAATAAAATGACAAGCAAAAAAGGAAGAAAAATAGAAGGGCAATGGCCACCAAACCTCTCTTGTTCTGTGGGGTTGAGGGTGAGTTGGGTTGCAGAGAAGACTGTGCCTGCCGATGACCATGTTTCCTGTGAAAGGACAGAGAGCGGCCAGACAGGAATCAAACAGGTCGTCCTGGGCTTGGGCACAGGGGGTTTTGAAAGCCAGCCGATTGTTACATGTGTTTGCCCCCTATGCATAATAGTGTGACACATCTTGTTCAAGAAGTCAAGCCCTGTTCTCCGTGAAACCCATAAATCCCAACCCCCCATGTAGGTTTATGAAGTATACCCTTCTAGACTATAGCCCCAACTAACACATCTTTCTTCTACTCTTAACTTCCTCCTCTCCTGAGTTTTAAGCCTACTCTTAATTTTTACCATAGCCAATTCTCTTATGCATTTACTCTAGCTAAAGAATACAGACCTTCCCCCCCCACTCCCAACTCTGCCATTAAATGTCTTGTGTTCAGTGTCCCGTCCAATTCCACATCTATGAAGCACCATGAGTTCACACCACCTAGTTTTATTTTAAACCACTGCACCTAGCTGGTTCCTTATGTGAGACAGTAAGTCCTAGAATTCAGGACCAGGTTTGTGGCTCTCTGGAGGCTTCACGCAGGTGGTCCTGTCTCTGGCTGCCAGCATGGATTCCGTGGGAAAGGTGCCTGGGTAGAGAGAGTGGAAGAAGCAAAACTTGTTTGAGAAGACTGAGCCACGAATATAAAATACTTTAAACTCCAATCTTGAATTAGCATTGTATAGACTTGTGGTGTTGTTAGATTATTACTTTGAATTAGATGGTTGTTCATACCCATTTATTTATGTTATCAAGTACTCTCAGTACTTGCATAGATGCAAGAGCCAGAAGCGGTTAAATTGCATGCTTTTCCCTCGTTTTCTTTCTGTGTGTGTTTCAGTCAGCCTCGCTGAGAACATTGGTAATAGTTGGGCACAGTGCTCAAGGGCACAGCTACTTGATAGACATGGTCCCTCTTTCGGGTAATTCAAGGGGTCATAGGGGTGAAAGAGAGCCCTCAATGTCCCGTTTATGGTCTGCTAGAGGAACTTGGGCTATGTGTTCTGTGCAGGTCCTGGGAGCCTGGAATCTGAATCCCAAGTTTTGATTCTCCCTCCAAAAGCAGAGAAGGGGGCACCCACCACTCCGACAGAGCATGTGTTCTAAGGCAGAATTCCACTTCAAAAAACACCGTGCTCTGACAGGGTGTTTATAAATGCATACAGTAAGTACACAAGATCTAAAGGTTTTAGTTAATAATTCTCATTTATTTTTAAGAACCATTTTATTGGCAAGTAAACTGCATATCACACAATTCAATATTTCAGTCATATTAAGAAGAGTTGTACAAGGGGGAACCGATCGCAATGATCAACGTATAACCTTGCCCCCCACCCCACCCCCAGGACAAACAGAAACGTGGGTGAAGGGAGACAACAGTTGGTGTAAGATATGAAAATCATAATAATTTATAAATTATCAAGGGCTCATGAGGGAGGAACGAAGGGAAAACAATGAGCTGATACCAAGGGCTCAAGTAGAAAGGATGGTGGCAACATATGTACAAATGATACAGTTGATGTATGGGTTAGTATAAGAACTGTAAGAGTCCCAATAAAATGGTTTTTTTTTTAAAGGAAGAGTTGTACAGTCATCAAATATGAATTTTAGCATAACACCCCCCCCCATGGTTAAATGGCTTTTAAAATGAGTTGTGTAATCACCATCAGTTCTAATGCTCCCTCCTCCCTCCCACATGCATTGTTTATTCCCCCAACCCCCTCTCCTCCCTGTCTCCCGCCCCCTCCCTTCCTCCCTCCCCTGTAACCCTTGCAACAGTTCTTCTCTCTGTGCATCTACTCCTGGGCTTCAATTCTCTTTTATTTTGATTGTTTTAAACTTTTTGTGATTAAGGTGAAGGTTTTTGGAACAGTTCACCAGTTTCCAATGCAACAATTAATGCACATTTTATTTCAACTCATTAATGATTATTCAGTATTATCTCATATATGGTCAGAACTGAAATTTCTGTTGTCATTTGTTTAAATTGGGATCCAAAGAGGATCGATCCTTGCATTGTCTGGCTGTTACAGCTTGAAGTGTCTTAGATCTGTCTCAGCATTACTGTTGACTTTTGTGGTCCAGCACGTTCTTGGGTGCGAGACTGACTTGTGCGTGGTAGAATTGCCGTGTTTGGAAGCACTAGCTGCTGTGCTCACCTCCGTCCTTCCCGTTTTCTCTCCTGGTGGTTCATTTGCAACCAAGCTGAGTACTTAGTCCTACTGTGTCCCCTCCATCTGAGTTTTCGTCCCTGTTGCGTAATTTGACATCTTCTGTCACAGTTTCCTGTTAATTGGTAGTTAGATAGAGCAACTTAATTAGTTGCAGATTGTTCTGGTTAGGTTTGGCCAGACTGCTTCAGAGGTGGTGGTTCCGCTGTTATCAGAAGAACCCACCTCCTATCTCTGTGTCTTCTTGTAATGCTAACAACTACTGGTGCCTAATGTATTCTTGGGGATCTTTTTATTTAAAGGTATGTTTCCATTCAGACTGTTTTAAGTAACTGTGTTCTCCCTTACTGAAGGAAGGGGCGATGGAAGGTGAGGCCGTTGAAGCCATCGTGGAAGAGTCGGAGACGTTCATTAAAGGAAAGGAGAGGAAGACTTACCAGAGACGCCGGGAAGGGGGCCAAGAGGAGGATGCGTGCCACCTACCCCAGAACCAGACGGAGGGGGGGGATGTGGTCCAGGATGTGAACAGTGGTGTGCAGATGGTCATGATGGAACAGCTGGACCCCACCCTTCTGCAGATGAAGACTGAAGTAATGGAGGGGACAGTGGCTCCAGAAACGGAGGCCGCCGTGGACGATACCCAGATCATAACCTTGCAGGTTGTAAATATGGAAGAACAGCCTATCAACATAGGAGAGCTTCAACTGGTTCAAGTACCTGTCCCCGTAACTGTACCTGTTGCTACCACATCAGTGGAAGAACTTCAGGGGGCGTATGAGAATGAAGTATCTAAAGAGGGCCTTGCCGAAAGCGAGTCTATGATATGTCACACCTTACCTTTACCTGAAGGATTTCAAGTGGTGAAAGTAGGAGCTAATGGAGAGGTGGAGACGCTTGAGCAAGGAGAGCTCCCCCCCCAGGAAGATCCAAGTTGGCAGAAAGACCCTGACTATCAGCCACCAGCCAAAAAAACAAAGAAAACCAAAAAGAGCAAACTGCGCTACACAGAGGAGGGCAAAGACGTGGACGTGTCTGTGTATGACTTCGAGGAAGAGCAGCAGGAGGGGCTGCTGTCGGAGGTGAATGCTGAGAAGGTGGTTGGTAACATGAAGCCTCCAAAGCCAACCAAAATTAAAAAGAAAGGTAAGACTGGCTCACTGTTATCTCTGGTCCGCGTGGAGTAGAGCACACCGCCCAGCTGGTAAGCAGGTGGTTTTGTATGAAGAGGTTGCTTGTAAAAGATCATTATTTGGGAACCAGTCTAAAAGGAAAGCTTCCTGATTCTTAAAGGCCTGAGGAGAAAGAGAGGAATTGACCAGTGGCATGGCATAGTATAAAGGCGAATAGGATAGATTTGTAGAAATTTAAGATCGGCTCAATCTCTGACACCCTGCACCAGGTAACTGTTGTATTTTTGCATCTAGGTGTAAAGAAGACATTCCAATGTGAACTCTGCAGTTACACATGTCCACGGCGTTCAAATTTGGATCGTCACATGAAAAGTCACACTGACGAGAGACCACACAAGTGCCATCTTTGTGGCAGGGCATTCAGAACAGTCACCCTCCTGAGGAACCATCTTAACACACACACAGGTGCTGGATTTCGAGTGTTGGGGGCAGGAGATGAATGCTGCCCACCCCCTACAACATCGCAAAGGTTTAAGATCAGGATAAACCCAGATTTTATGTCTAACCCCAGCTGTTTCCAGCTGGATGTAATCTTTATTTTAAGCAAATGGACTTAGTTATGGGCGATCAAGAAATTTATTGAGAAGTAATCAAAATTCTGTAAGGAATTAAAACATGTACGATAGTTAAGCTCTAATACACCTACTCGCCTACCTCATTATCTGACATTTTGACTTTAAGATGAGAGTAAAAACCTCTACTTAGTCACCTTAAGTCCAGGTGAGAAGAGAACCTTTGTGTTTTGAGTAAGAGTGCCTCCCTCCAGCCTGGTGTCCTAGATCCTTCCCAACCCACCCCTCTCCCCAGTCAAGCATGTAAATAAAGTTGGCAAACAAAAAGCCAGGGCCCTTGGGCCCTTAATTTGTACTTAGTGCTCTCTGCTGCACCACTTGGATCCTGGCTGCCAGGTGGCAGGAAGGTGACAGAGAGGAACAGACAGGATGCAAGTCACTTTCCACGCAGAGACTGGGGCAGTGGTCCCAAGTAGGAGTTTCTGTGTAGCAGGAACTCAACTCTTGAGTTAGCATAAGGCGGTCCCCTCCTGACTGTACATCCTGGCCCAGTTGGCTCCCCTGGAGGTTTGAAATGGCACAAATTGACCCACACCACCATACTGAAGTCCCTGTTCGGAGAGTAGAGAAGTCACCAGCTAAGTGCTAAGAACAGTGACTGCAAGCCAGGGAGCAGCCCCAGCCCCAAGAGGCCACCTCCAAAATGACTCCTGGAGCCTAGAGAGCATTTGTTCACTGAGATTTTACCTAAGGCTGAGTTTTATATAATACTAGTTTTTGGAACCTAACTATCAATAAGCAATCGGATGTTTTTCCTGACGATAATACCATCATGTTGCTAGCATTTAAAACAGTGACCCCAGAAAGGTCCCAGGCAACAAATGCCCATCCATCATGAGGGAAACCATTAGAAGTTAAGTCTCCCACATGTGTGGCAGCTCCAGCATTTTCTGTTTGTTTCACCTTGGGGAAAATACATAATTCCTAATCCCAGGATGGAAAGTTGAAGGCAGTGCTATCTAATTCATTCTGGCAACTCCAGCCTGGATTTGTTTGTACTTCACACACATTTGAAATGATGCTGTTCAGATATCCCAGGAGCTGCCTGCTGTCTCGGGTCTCGAGTTCCGAGAGAAGCAAAGTCTTCCGTGCACTGGCACACTCTGTCTCTCTTCTGGGCTCTCCAGACTTTAAGCAGTACACTGTGCAGGAGGAGAGTCTTTGCTGACGTAACTCAGCCACTTTTCAACATCTTCTAGTCTCTACTTGAGAATACGGTGTATTTGGTAGTGTCAGGTTGGGGCATATGACTGGCTAAGATCCAGCTGGCTAGCGTAGGACCTCCCCGGGGTGGGGGGTACCTTGACAAAAGTACTGTCTGTAGGGCCTCAACCTTGAAAATAATTTTCATCTGCCAGGTTACCCAGACCTGATTGGGCAGGACTAATTCATATTAACCCTGTCTCAAGAGTTAGGTGCATATACCAGAGCACCATTCCGTAGTAAGAAATAAGCCTTCTCATTTCGAGATGTAGTTGTCTTGCGGTCAAGGGGAATGCTCTTGCCTGTGTCGGTACCACGGCAGGCCATTGAACTATGAGTTGGTGAGCGTGGACTTTGAGCAGAGAGCTGTAGGTAGTCATATTAGACAGCCGGGTGGAAATTCCTGCCCCAAGCAACATCCCAGTCTTGCCTAATGATGGGCTTAAGTTGCCACCTAGGGCGGTTTCTCTCCCCTGCACAGCACTGGGTAAACACAAACAGTTCTTGTTTTTCTGTCATTAGAGAAGCAAACAAACGTTCCTTGGAATTGCTTCACGCTCCAATCACGTGCTGGTCTCCAGGCTTCTCTCCAGTCTAGAGCAGAGGCTCCCACTGCGCTCCTCATGCCACGGCCCTTTCATACAGCTCCTCATGTGGTGACCCCAATCATAACATTGTTTTCGTTGCTACTTTATAGCTGTCATTTTGCTACTGTTATGAATCGGGCAACTGCCGTGAAAGGGTTGTTCGACCCCCAAAGGGGTTGAGACCCACAGGTTGAGAACCGCTGGTCTAGAAAGAAACATTACTGCAGGTGACTGGTTCCAGTTATTAAATTGTGGCTCCTCCTAATTCCGTTCTCAGAGAGAAACCTTCCTTCAATTGTATAGTTCAGGAATACCTACTCACCCCTTACACATTGCAAGCCCACAACTACAGCTGATCCTAGTATTCTGAAGAGTGGTCTGCTACCAGCGTGATCTCCATGTAATCGTCAGTCCTCCCTGGTGGACTTCGTTCTGATGACCTGCTTCAGAACAAAAGGCACCTGGAGAAGATCCCGACAGGGCACCAAAGTAGTCTCTCAGCGCTCCAGGGAGACCTTCTTTCCGATGGAGGCCACTTGTTCAGTGGTTAAAAGAGGGTTGCAGGGCGTTTTTGGTTTTGTTCTGTTGATTTTTTAATCCATCGTGATCAGAATATTCCCAAGCCATTGTTTTGTAAAATTACATAATCCAAGGAGAATTTTGTATTTGAATTTTTATCTAGACTCAAATGGTCAGTACTGAAGAGAAACTACATGTTGGCACCTGTTTCTAATATTCTGAAGTTAGAGTTGTTACAGGGCCGCTGGGTCAGAGTGGGTGCGTGGGCCCCATGTGGAACTCTGCCATTAACTATGTCCTTGTTCTTGTTCTTCCTCCTGCACCCACCTTTCTCTAGGTACTCGTCCCCACAAGTGCCCAGACTGTGACATGGCCTTTGTGACCAGTGGAGAGTTGGTGCGGCATCGTCGTTACAAACACACCCATGAGAAGCCATTCAAGTGTTCCATGTGTGATTATGCCAGTGTAGAAGTACGTGTGGGCTCCTGGTAGGGCCGCCCTTAAGTAGCCTGATTCCAATGAGGTTCTGCAGCACCCAGATTGACTAAAGAGGAGCAAAGAGGTCACACCCCTCGCCTTCCCCCACCCCACCCCACACCACCACCACAGAAGCGAATGTGAAGAAGGCTTGACACTTTAGTACTAGGTTTACAAACACTTTTTATATACTTATTACGCCTGTGGACACGTCAATTTGACACGTGAACAAAACTGCACGTTTTCTTCAAAAACAATCTTATTTCAAAACATAGTTATACACTATCAACTTATGAATGAAACTATGATACCATATGTTTATATAAGATGTGTAATATTTAACATTGTACAACCTTTGAGAAACTTGGTTTGTAGGGGTCCCTTGGGTCAGTCAAAGAGGATAATCTCTGCTGCTTTGTTTCCCTTTACTTTTGATGTTTACTTTATAGAACTTTTGGGTACATTTCTATTTCTTACTGAAGTAATGATTTCATGAATGAAACTGATTTACTGGAATCAATACACAATTTATGTTCACATCAAATCAGCACATATCCATAGAGTTAGGTCTACCACACAGAATGTCGAGAATGTCCTGTCAAATGGGGAAAACGGCTTCTGTAATCTGTTGAGATTGAACTGTGTCAACACACCCTATAACCCTAATGTTAAAAAGGGAACACTAGATTCATAGGATATTATGAGAAAGTCTACCAAACTTCAAAGAGACAGATAATCTACATGATTCAAAATCTGGCCAAATAATTTTTAAATGGAAGGCTTAAGTTAGGTGTTCTTTGAAGCCACTCTGTCATCAAAACTGGATAAAGTTACTACCAAAAAAGAAAACTATTGTATTCTCATAGGGAATACAAATTCTGAATAAAATTATAAACAAACCAAATTTAATAAGATGCGAAAAAGTAAGCAGTTATTAAGTGGAATAGATAAACTACCCAGATAGTTCTATATTAGGGAAGTATTGATGTATATTTTTACCTAAATCGATATATCATTTATACATTGAGAAATTAAAGAAAAGCCATATTTCCAGTATGCTGGTAACTGCGGAAAAATATCCAGAAAATTTCAGTATTCATCACTCTTTATGGTTTCAGCAAATAGAGAGTAAAGAACTTTGTATGTGTACTGGAAGCCTCTAATGAACCCAGCCTAACTAGAAACGTTGGAAATCTCCCCATACCACGAGGAAGAACACAAAACAATCATCTTCCCTTACAATTTCAACATTGTATGGATATCCTAACTGGTGAAATCAAGTGGAAAACAAAACTCCAGATATATTTACTTGAAAATTCAAGAGTATCAAATGAAAGGCATTGGTTTTAACAAAAAGGCTCCAAGAATTGAACTAGCCATTGAAACATTTCAACATGTGGATGCAGTGCTGGGAAGGCAACTCCCTGGCCAAACAGCGGGAAAAGAAAGTTTCACATTCATGCCCTTCCAAAGTAAGGGGACCGATGAGACACTCCCGAAACTGTCCAATAGCACCAATGTCACACAAGTCAACTCTGCCGTAGGTAACGTAACAATTGCAGCAGTACGTTGACAGGGAGCTGCTGAGCTAGAAGAGGATGTGGAACAAGGGATGTCGTTGATGTTAGATGGATCTTGGGGTCTTGACTGAAAAAATACTGCAAAGATCTTTATTTTATTGACTGCAAAGGCATTTGACTGGATCAGAATAAATTATGGATAGTATTGTGAAGAATTCGGATTCCAGGACCTGTATGTAGAGTAAGAGGCATTTGTTGAAACAGATCAAAGGGATGGTGTGCGGTTTAAAATTGGGAAAGATGTGAATCGGTTGTTTACTTTCACCGTACATATTCATTCCACATGCTAAGTAATCTGAGAAACTAGACTACAGGATCAGGATTGGAGGAAGACTCATTTACAACTCGTGATAGGTCGATGACACAACTTCGCTGAATGGAAGAGAAGTTGAAGCACTTACTAATAGGTCACTGACACTATAGCCTTCAGTGTAGATTACACCTCAACATAATTGGCCAATAAGCAACTTCATAAAAGTAGAGAACAGATTGAAGTAGTTAAGGGTATAATTTTACTTGGATCCGTAATCAACACCCATTGAAGCAACAGTCAAGATCGTGTGGAAATTTTCTACGCAACATTTAAGTATGCAAAAAAAGCTTTTCTTTTGTTTCTTTGGTTGGAGGATCCGGGGAGACACTTGTAAAATTTCAAATCCGTGATCAGTGAGGACTCAGCACTTCTTGGAGCCAGGTCTGAAATGAGTGGTTTGGGGGAAAGACCAAGACCACAGTAGGAGGTAAAAGACAGTGATGAATGCATGTGCATCCAAAAAAAAAAAAAGACAGTGATGATAAAGTTAGGGTCCCAGAGCCTTCCCAAGTCCTGGAAGAAGTGCAAAGGACAAGAAGAAAAGGTGAGGGGGTTTATTTAAAACAAACTAACTCATCCAGAATTTGAAAGGAAACCGATCCATCAACAGGCAGCAGATTATTCTAAAGCCATTGAGAATTACTAAACATGAGGGTGCTTCAGAAAGCTAGAAAAATTGCATCATCTTTTCTTCCATTTTCCACAAGTCATTTGAATACCCTTAGTGTAAAGAAAGAGAGGGAGTGGTGAGAGTTGGAGTCTGGCCCCAGAACAGGGGGAGGAACTATTCTGGAACCCTAGCTGCAAGACTTCTTTTTATTTCCCCTCTCCACCCACTCTCCTGCCCTTGTTTGTGCAGCCTTGGCGGCCATTCAGTCTCCATCCCTCTCCTCCACTGCCACTGCCAGGGTGGGTGCCCCGCCCTAGAGGAAGGGCACAGCTCCTGTGCAGCTTGCTGTAGCTGACTGCCCTGGAAAACCCAGTGAAGACCACATGAGAGACCTGCTGGAACTCCCATCTTGGGTTCCCCGTTTCCCTTTCTGAGATTGACCGATCCTGGATTTTATATATGGAAGATCAAAGCAAACAAGTACCCCAAGCCCCAACCACAGTGACTAGACACAATGCAGAAATGCCTCAGCCAACAAGGAATGTGAAAAGCTGAGGCGACTGGATGGGTCCGAAGGGAGATCAAACGGTGCGGAATTATGGAATTATTACATTTGAGCCTCGCTGTGTCTCCACGGTTGGCTTTGCCACCTCCCTGTCTAACTGCAGGGGCTTTCACACCCTGGGACTAGGTAATGTCTGTAAGTTCTCACCCACAGCAAAAAGAAGCAGAAAGAGAGAGGAAATGGTATACTACACAATATGTACCTGTCTCTGCTCGAACCATTCCTTGTCATGACTACTTTTCCACTTGTGCAGCTTTCTGCATTTATGCCCTTCCTTGGTTATACGGATTTGAGATGTTAAGGTTGCAAGTAGTAAGGTGGACGTGACATTATCTGTTGTTGGTGGTGTCTGTAGGATTTCAGTGCACCAAAACAGTCTTTGTGACGGTCCATATTAATAAGTTGCTGTCCTGCCGTAGGTCAGCAAGTTAAAACGTCATATACGATCTCACACTGGTGAGCGTCCGTTCCAGTGCAGTTTGTGCAGCTACGCCAGCAGGGACACCTACAAGCTCAAAAGGCACATGAGAACCCATTCAGGTAGGACTTCTCCCGTGAGCTGCTTTCCAGCGTGCGCACGGCCCCAAACCAAAGGCTGCCAAAAAGGTGGGGTATGGTTCTTCAGCATAGGTCTGATTTCGTTCTTCTGACTATATACTAGAGAATGGGTTGTTTTATTACTCAACTTGAGTCTATGCAAATGGGAAGAAACATTACTTTTAAAGAAGAAACAAAATGCAAGTCTCGAGTTTTTAACCTTCAGAAGTTTATTGCTCACTCCATTTAGCTACAAAGAAAAACGTGTTGTTCCTCTGGTCCACAGTCCACCTGTCGACTCTCCCCCAAAGGCAGACTTCTGCAGGAACAAGATGTGAAGGACTCGAGTGGAGCTGGGCAGCGCACAGTGGCTCGTAGCCCTGTAGGGCTTTCCAGCTGGGGCTGGAGGTGGCATGTGCAGAGCAGTGGCCTATGCCAGCCTCAGCCCCCACTGCCACCCCCACCCCCACCCCCCAGCCACACACTGGGCTAAGTGTGAGACCTGAAGGTTCCCTATGACTTAGCGCATCTGCCCGAGTTATCCTCCAAGTAAATGACAATGTCTTCATCTCATTGAATATGTTCATTTGTATTTCCTTTGAAGGGGAAAAACCTTATGAATGTTATATTTGTCATGCTCGGTTTACCCAGAGTGGTACCATGAAGATGCACATTTTACAGAAGCACACTGAAAATGTGGCCAAATTCCACTGTCCCCACTGTGACACTGTCATAGCCCGAAAAAGTGATTTGGGTAAGTAGATGAAGTGGCGGCCACTGAAATGTGGTTGGTTGGTGGTGTTGAGTCTGGGGGCTAGATTTATGAAACTGAGGACCAGAAGCAGCCTCGCCCACCGACTCCTGGGCTCTGTATGTAGACAGCACGCCTGCCTCTTGGAGCCGCTGCTGCTTAGCTGCTGGGTTTTCCTCTGGGATCACGGCAGTCCACACGGGGTCCCTCTGATGCCACTTCCCCTACCTCACTTGGCTTCCGCCACTATGCTTGAGCTCCGTGTGCTCCCTTGCTCTCAGCCCCTTCAGACCGCTGCCATCTCTTACCTGCCCTGTTTCAGCCATCTTACTGGTCTCCCACGGTTGTTCCTCTTTTTAAATTGATTTTCTGTGTGGCAGCCTGAGTCGTTTTTTCACAAAGCAGCACCAGTGGCCATGGAGTTGTTTCTGCCTCATAGCAACACTCTAGGACAGAGTAGACGTGCCCCTTTCCTTTCTGAGGCGGTCCGTTTTGAAAGGAGCAGAAGGCCTCATCTTTCCCTCAGAGCAACCGGTAGGCTTGAACCAGTGGTCTTCCGGTTAGCATAAGGTGACCAGACGTCCCACTTTTGGCAGGACAATCCCGATTTTTAATAATTTTTCTTGCATCCCGTAGCATTTTAAAATCCCGATTTTTGGAAAGAATGCACAACAAACTAGGGTATACGTTTTCGGCTGCCATGTGGCTATTTCACCAGGATATGTGTCTTATCAATGGTGTCCCGCTTTACCAACGTTAAAATCTGGTCACCTTAGGTTAGCGGCACAGCTTGAAACCCTTTGTGCCACGAGGGCCCATCGGCAGCAGGAGGACATGGACTGCTGTGTTAATGTGCTTGTTTGTGTTTTCCCAAGTTGGATTGGGCTTTGTGTTTTGCTTCCAGGTGTCCACTTGCGAAAGCAGCATTCCTATATCGAACAAGGCAAGAAATGCCGGTACTGCGATGCCGTGTTTCACGAGCGCTATGCCCTCATCCAGCATCAGAAGTCACACAAGAATGAGAAGCGCTTTAAGTGTGACCAGTGTGATTACGCTTGCAGACAGGTAAGAACGAACACAAGATGCACTAATGGGTTTTATAGCAGTGTGGGGTTAGGGTTTTGTTTTCTTAATTAAAAGTATTACTTTGAATTTCACTCAATATTTTTTACAATTTGAGCGATGTCAGCTACATCATATGGGTTTTTAAACTGTATGGTTTGGGAGGAACGTCCCTAAATGAAAAATAGATGAGAGGCCACGGTCTTCGGTTGCTTTGTCACTGCTCCGGCTAATTGTTAGTTTTCGTCACAGCTTACCTCCTCTTATGTAAGCTACCAACTGTTTTCTCAGAATTATGTGTAAATGGAAGTCCTGAGTTGGGGGGGGGTAGGGGAGGTCTGCTGGTAGAGTGGGAGTCCGCAGCGTGTCTGCACTCGAGCTCTGGATGCACTACATGGACCCAGGTAGGGACAACTTGTGGTCTCACCAGCAGCGGTGAGCCTAAATCCCAGGGTGAGAGAGGCCTGTTCCCTATGTGCCCGTGCATCTGGGACCCTCGGTTCTTGTTTTAGGAGCGGCACATGATCATGCACAAACGCACCCACACCGGAGAGAAGCCTTATGCCTGCAGCCACTGCGACAAGACTTTCCGCCAGAAACAGCTCCTCGACATGCACTTCAAACGCTATCACGACCCCAACTTTGTCCCTGCGGCCTTCGTCTGTTCTAAGTGTGGGAAAACATTTACACGCCGGGTAAGGTTCCTCACCTCGCCTCCTGGTGATGCTTCTTCATTCTGCGTTCTTGATCTTCCACTGCCAAGCAGAGGGATTCTGTGGTAAAGAGCGCTGATTCCTTGAAAGGCGAGGGCAGTCCCCAGCCAGTCATCCCCATCTAGATGACTACTAGCCTCTTGTGAACCCCACCTCTGCTTACCTAAGTTCCAGTGTTCTGAGTCATTTCCTTAAAGGTGGACAGAGCTCGTCTGATCCTCATCTGCACCCTATGTCTATGGGCTGCTGGGCCCTCCTCAGAGGATACCCCCTGGTCTTCAGAGGAGCCAGCCTCTCCTGGTCTCCCTCACTCTGCTCCAGAAACAGAGACAGCCCCCAGGTGAGGAGAGCACAGCACAGCCAGGCTTAGCAGAGCTCAGGAGAGCCCTTCTTTTTTTCACCTTTATTTAGCAAATGTATACTCAGAACCCGTTCCACGGAGGCAGTGTCCTGGGGGCAGGAAATGAAGCAGTCACCGAGACACTGTGCCCAGGGTTTACCGCCTGTTTTGCCTCTCACTCACATTTTCAAAAGACTGAGATAATGCATGTACACTTCTTTATAAATGATACAGAAGCAGCTTTGTTTTTTAATTATGAATTGTTGTCAGTTGTTATTTGTTGGATCGTTGCCGACTCATAGCCACCCTATTGTGGCTGTTCATGCCTACTCCTGCATCATCCTCACACTTCCCTTCTTTGTGTTTCATTGAAACTAAAAACTTCCAAGTTTCCTGTCTTGATATTTGCTTTTTTTTAAGTAATATGAAAGAGGGTTCTGTTTTGTTAGAATACCATGGCAAGGCATGCTGATAATTGTGCTGGTCCCGATGGCGTAGAAGGAGAAAATGGAGGAGAAACGAAAAAGAGTAAACGTGGAAGAAAAAGAAAGATGCGTTCTAAAAAAGAAGACTCTTCTGACAGTGGTAAGTGGCTTGTTTCTTAACTGCTGCCGCCTGGGGGAGA